ATCACAAATAAACATGAATTCCAAATCTTAGAGCTTCATTATTTTCACATACCTATAATGCATAAATAAATATAGTTAGATATAAATGCCTTGATCTATGATTGCAAATATCGTAGAGATTAAGTTCAACGTTAAGATCCTTTCTGCGGAACGAACACGTGATAAACTGCAATAGCTAAAACATGGAAACTGATTTCTCTTTCTTGGCCTTTTGCATACATAAACATTATATATTTTGTTTTCATTAGCGTATATAATTGATGAGATATATGCACTTTTATAAAGGCAGAGAGAGGACTAGTTTTCCTTTTTAGTAAGCTTAATTCCACTTCCCATCAAAGTAAGGAAAATGTTTGAAAAAAATTATAAAATGGATATTTATCATTCAGCGTTTAATACTCTAACTTTTCTCTATCCGTCCCAAAATAAGTGTTGACCTTTTCATTTTTACCCATCCCAATATAACTGTCGGATTTGAGTTTGGGCTTCTGAGTCACTCAAGTATTTTTTTTAGAAGGAAGGACCTAGGCAAGCATGGGTAACCCACCACCACCCGCGGCCCCGCCCCGTCCCGTCCCGCCTATTAAGGCTTGGGCTTGTTTCTTAGAGTGATTATTCTATTTTATTAAAGTGAATAATTGAAATGCACTAGGCCTCTATTTTGTCAGAGAAGACCATTCAACACACAAAAGCGGGACCCTATTTATCTTAAGGATATTGTATTTTATACTTAGACTTCGTCCATAAACAAGTTCTTTATTATTATTTTATTTTATCATCAAGATCCGTTCAATACAGAAGCGTGACAATATTTGTCTTGAAGGATATTGAATTTGAATTTTGTACTGGACTCGTACATAAACAAGTTCTTTATTATTTTTTTATTTTATTATATTTATAAAATAATGCTTAGTATATAAATTATATATTTAATATATACTAGCATTGAAACCATACTATTTATAAATGACTACTATTTAACACGGCAATTAAAAAAATGGAATAACATGAGTTTAGTAAAAGTCAATTTTACACCTCGGTCGGTTGTAGAGTTAGGTGGGTAAATATAATAATTCATTACATCATTTTCAGCAATAAATATATTTATGCGCGTGTTCTAGGTCACATAAAATAATAGTGGAAGTAAAAGAGAATTAAAAAATGACAAAATTAAATTACAAAAAAGAAAAATTTGAGCGACAGCGGAAATTCGCTCTCTCGGAATGTAAGAGAGACAAATGTTCAGAAAAATTCTGTGACTTAATGCTAACTTGAAATATATAGTCATCCTTCTCGTACCAAACTAGTATTACTTTTACACAAGCACACAAACATAAGTTTTCGGATACACAATGCTCCACTGAACTGGCTCTGACACACCAGATAAATAGAAAACTGGCAAATCAAATTTGGCTTCACATGATCACTTTATTATATAATTTTTCACTGCATAGAGTTCCATAAACAAATGCCCGCACAGCATAGAGAACACATGCATATATATATATATATATATATATATATATATATATATATATATATTAGCTCACATATTTTTGTATATATCAACTACTATTTGATATCTACTTGTGCCCTTTGGGTGGCGTGTTGGCAAACATCCATGACACACGATAGAGAGGGCCATGTATTTTGTTCCCTGCCACCTCATTGGCTGGCACTGCATCAGATATCTCTTTCAATTCTTCTTTTGTGAGCTTCACTTTCAAGGCACCAATATTTGCCTCTAGATTCTTGATCTTCGTTGTTCCTGTAAAAATACACAAGGAGAGGACATTATATATATTTCCAGAAACAAGATAACTCAATTCAACTCTTAGAATTGAGCTCTTAAAATTTTCAGTACTTCATCAATCAGCACCGTAGCCTTCTGTTACTATCATTAAGAAATTAAAACCTCCAAGCTCGAAGATATGGTTATCCAATAAAAAGAGCTCCTTGTCGTATCATAACCGTTATAGTAAAAGATCATAAATGATCTCTTGCTACCCAGTATCATCATGTCTTGCCTAATTTTGGGTGTAATAAATAAGTAGCAATTACTAGTGCTTCCGATATTCATGAGGAGGGAGTCTATTGTTCACCTAGAATGTCAAGCATATGGTGAAATGACGATTACACTCTAAAGAAAATTGGCTAATCCGATATTTCCAAACAAGTGATGATATTACTGAGATGGGAGTTAGTTGGGATAGAATTACTAAAGATTATATTTTTAAATAAATATTTTGTTTTGTTGTATTATTAATGATGAGATGAAATTGATGACTCTTTTTTAACCATAATATATATTTTTTATATATGACATGTTGAATTAAATTTAATTATGTTGAATGGTTGTATAAAAAACAAGTTAACTACTTTATATTGCCAAACAATCCCCAAAAACACTCTTGGGTAAAATAGTTATTTCAGTAATGTTGTATTTGGTGTGTAGGAATGGAATGGAGTGCAAGTGAGAATGAAATGGAACAACCATTCTCATTTTATTGTTTGGTTGTAAATATAAAATGTGTAGGAATAGAATGATAATAACCATTTTAGTATTTGGTTGGACCAATTTGAATTTAGAATGGAATAAATTTCAAATATCCTTCTCAAAAATATCCTTCTTGGTAACAAATAAATTAAAGTAACAAAAAAACATTCTTCTATAATTTTTTAAAAATAAATGGTGGCGGTGGTGGTGGTGGATGGTGGTGTAGGTGGAAAGCAGTAGTGTTGTAGGTGGTGGTGGCAATGGTAGAAGGCAGAGGCAATGGTGGTGGTGGAAGGCGACAGTGGTGTTGGTGGAAGGTGGTGACAGTAATGTGGTGGTGGTGGTGGAATGAGATAGTGGTGTAGGTGGTGGTGGTGTAAGCCAATGGAGGTGACTGTGGTGGTGGTAGAAGGTGGTGACGATGGTGGTAATGGAAAGTGATGGCAGTGGTCGTCGTGGTGGTGAAAGATGGTGGCGGGGGCAGTGGTGGTGAAAGGCGGTAGCGGGTGGCGGTGGCGAAAGTTGATGACGGTAGTGGTGGTAGAAGGTGGTGGTGGTTGAAGGCGGTAGCGGTGGTGGTGGAAGGTGGTGGCGGTAGCGGTAAAGGAAGGCGGTGGCGGTGGTGAAAGGCGGTGTCGGTGGTGGTGGTAGAAAGTGATGGGCAGTAATGAAAGTCAGTGGCGGTGGTAGTGGTACGTGGAAGGTGGTAGTAGTGGTGAAAGGTGGAGGTGGTTGTGGTGGAAAGTAGTGGTTTTTAGACTTGGAATATGAGAGTTTTTTGGGAGTTGATTTTTTAAAAAAATTTAGTTGGGAATGGAATGATCATTCCATAGGTTTAGTTGTGGAATGGATTCATTTTTCATTCCAATAGAATGGCCATTCCACTTTAAATTGTATACCAAATAAAGGAATAGTTGGAATGAGCATTCCAACATAATAGAAGAGTTTCAACAAATCTTTGCCAAATAAACAAAAAAAATTCATCTGACATTAAAAGATCTTCAAAAATACAATTTTCAAACGCCAACAAATAAACCAAATAGAAGTGATAGCTTATACTTATCGTTTTCTTTTACTTAAAAGTATGAGTAAAAGATATATCAAACGACACCAGGTTACTTTCGGAGAAACTAAAAACACTTTTAAATTGAAATTCTCTTTTAGATGCACTGGTAACAAAATAAAAACAAAAAAAGGCTCTTTAGTCTTTCGGTGAAGTATAACTTTTAGCTGAAGCTAAAAATTGAAAACCTTGTATAAAAGAGATAACAAATATATATAAATAGTCTATTTATTGAAAAAATAAATTTTATAAGGCTATTTAATCATGGAAAAACTATTGGAAATGAAGCTTAATATAGGCCAACTTTGAACCAAAACTAAAGGGGGACCCATTAATCATTTTTGACGGGTCTATAGTTGAACGCATTCCTCTCCAAGAATAAATGAACACGGTATAATTATTTTCTCGATTTCATTTCCGGATGATTAAAGATATTAGCTCCAAGTAAAGATATGAAATGGAAATGTTTGGGAAATGTGTGTCCCACGTTGGAAGGAGGATGAAAAAATATAGAGTTAATATACTCCTAGTTTGATACGGAGTATTTGGGTTTGGGCTTTTGAGTCACTCAAGTATTTTTTTTTTTTTAGAGGGAAGGACCTAGGCAAGTATGGATAACCCACCACCACCCCCGGCCCCACCCCGCCCGTTAGGGCTTGGGCTTGTTTCTTAGAGTGATTATTCTATTTTATTAAAGAGAATAATTGCGGGATGCTATTTATGTTAAGGATATTGTATTTTATATTAGAGTTAGTCCATAAATAAGTTCTTTATTATTATTTTATTTTATTATCCGGATCCGATATGACTCAAATCCCACTTGCAACACATAACCTTTAGTAAGTCTTAACCATTCTTAGCCATTGTAGTCCGTTCTGAATTTAAAAGTTTAGTCTAATCTAGTAAGGTCAATAGAGAGATTCGTAGCGTTGGTTCAATGCTCCATTGGTGTGGAGTAACGGAAGACAAATGTTAGAAAAATTCGTTCAATACAGAAGCGTGACGATTTTTGTCTTAAGGAGATTGAATTTGAATTTTGTACTAGACTCGTACATAATCAAGTTCTTTATTATTGTTTTATTTTATTATATTTATAAAATAATGCTTAGTATATAAATTATATATTTAATATATACTTAGCATTGAAACCATACTATTTATAAATGACTACCATTTAACACGGCAATTAAAAAAATGGAATAACATGAGTTTAGTAAAAGTCAATTTTACACCTAAGTCGGTTTTAGAGTTGGGTGGTTAAATATAATAATTCATTATATCATTTTCAGTAATAAATATATTTACACCTGTGTTCTAGGTCACATAAAATAATAGTGGGAGTGAAAGGGGATCAAAAAAAGGCAAAATTAAATCATACATAAGGAAAATTTTAGCGATAGCGAAAACACACTAAAAACGAGAACGAGAGAGAGAGAGAGAGAGAGAGATGTTTGACTTAATGCTAGCTTGAAATATAGTCATCCTTGTCGTACCAAACAAGTATTACTTTACACAAGCACAAACAAAAGTTTTCGTATACACAATGCTCCACTGAACTGGCTCTGACACACCAGATAAATAGAAAACTGGCAAATCATTTGGCTTCACATGATCACTTTATTATATAATTTTTCACTGCATAGAGTTCCATAAACAAATGCACGCACAGCATAGAGAACACATGCACATATATATATATATATATATATATATATATATATATATATATTAGCTCACATATTTTTGTATATATCTGATATCTACTTGTGCCCTTTGGGTGGGGTGTTGGCAAACATCCATGACACGCGATAGAGAGGGCCATGTATTTTGTTCCCTGCCACCTCATTGGCTGGCACTGCATCAGATATCTCTTTTAATTCTTCTTTTGTGAGCTTCACTTTCAAGGCACCGATATTTGCCTCTAGATTCTTGATCTTCGTTGTTCCTGTAAAATACACAAGGAGAGGACATTAGATATATTTCAAGAAACAAGATAACTCAATTCAACTCTTAGAATTGAGCTCTTAAAATTTTCAGTACTTTATCAACCAGCGTAGCCTTCCGTTACTATCATTAAGAAATTAAAACCTCCGAGCTCGAAGATATGGTTATCCAATAAAAAGAGCTCCTTGTCGTATCATAACCGTTATAGTAAAAGATCATAAATGATCTCTTGCTACCCAGTATCAACATGTCTTGCTACCGATGAGCAAGAAATTTATCAACACCCAAACATGATAATTGTGAGAAATGATATTTTTTTTAATCTTGTTTACGCTTAAATCATATCCAATGGTATCGGAGAAAGTTTTTTTTGCTGAACGATGAACAAGAGATCATTAGTTAGTGAAAGATAAATCCTTATATGACAATTCAACTACACCACAAATCATGAGCCTCTTGTAAGCACAGGGCCCCCAAGGGTTGAACCTAGGACATCTAAAAGCCTGATATGACAACTCAACTATATAAAATGGTTCTAGTTGAACAGTTATCAACTACAAAAAATATTCTTAGACAATCAGTATTTATTTATTTAATAATTTTTTTTGTCAACACAAATCATGAGCATCTTGAACAATTCTCAGCTACCTAAAGGAAAGTTTTTTTTTTAGATAACCATGCTCTCTTGTATGCAAGATAACCAACAAAAAATATTCTTAGACAATCATTATTTATTTATTTATTTATTTTTGTCGCCACAAATCATGAGCATCTTGAACACAATTCTCAGCTACATAATGGAAAGTTTTTTTACATAACCATGCTCTCTTGTATGTAAGATAACCAAGGGTGCAAACTATAGTCTACAATTCTAGTCTTGTGATTGGGAGCACCAAAACCGAGCACTGAAAGTGAAATCAAAGGAAATTTAGTTCGAATTTATTCTAATTCTAATCGTAAAGTGTCAATTCGGTGCTCCCAAACATAACTTATAATTATTAGGATATATGGATGCACCCACCTCCCGACCAATCACTTTTGTAATTCTAACAAACTTTATACACAATATTCGAATGACAATGGAGCAATATGTTGACGGACACTAATTACTCACCAGGGATAGGTACTACATCATTCCCCTGATGAAGAACCCAAGCAAGTGCGACTTGAGAAACTGTGCATCCATGCTTCTTAGCCAGCCCTTCAATTCTTTCATAAATGATCTTGTTCCGCTTAAGGTTCTGTTCTTCGAACCTTGGATGATTTTTCTGATAAAAAGTAAGGAAATTTGATCATTCATTCATTCACCAAATCCCTTTCAAATTAGCGAATTACAAATTAGAATTGTAAAGTATCAAAAAAGATTTAATGGAATTAAAATAACATGCACAAAAAAATAAAAAATCATGAGTATAGTTTCATACCAGAAGACTATTTTCATTGATAGTCTCCTTAATTCCCTTCCCGCCAAAAAATCCATGACCAAGAGGGCTGAATGGAACAATCCCAATTCCAAGTTCCCTACATGCATGTAACATAAATTTCAGTTTTTATTTATTTTTGCAACAAATGTAAGTTAACATGATCGAAATTTTTCATAGGAATTAATTTTGTATGGAATATGAAAAAATTAACCTGCAAAGCGGAATTAATTCATCCTCAATATCACGAGTCCAAAGGGAATACTCCGTTTGTATGGCAGTGATGGGATGAACTTTATGTGCCCTCCTTATTGTGTCAAGGCTAGCTTCTGATAGTCCTATGTACTTTATTTTACCCTCTTGAACCAATTTCTTGAGTTCTTCCATCTGCGATTCAAAAAAAAAAAAAAAAAATTCATGACTTCAAAATGCTTAAATTATGGTAACATTATTAAAAGAACAAGAAAAAGACATCAAGAATTTTTATGTCTGTTGACGGAAAATGAAAATAAAAAACCTGGCTAGAAAGCTTACAGTGTCCTCAATAGGTACCGACTGGTCTACCCGGTGTTGATAGTAGAGATCTATGTAGTCCACACCTAGGCGCTTCAGACTACCTTCACAACAAGAGCGGACATATTCCGGATTACCTTTTATGATAACATTATCAGCTTCAACCTTAACAACTCCAAATTTTGTGGCTATTTGGATCTTTTCTCGAGGTAATTGCTTTAGTGCCTGCAATATTCAGATTAATATATGAAAGACCATTCATTCCCCAATACAAGATAAAATAAATAAAAAAAGCGTTTCATTTTCTTTCATATATATATATATATATATGATAATGTTGTTGCCAAGAAAAGGTTTTAAGCTGTCAAGTTCAACCCAAACGGGCATAGATGAATTTTATTAAATTTAAGTATTCATAGGTTGTTATACATAATACAATACCTTTCCAATCAACTTTTCATTAGCATTGTCGACGCCATAAACATCGGATGAATCAAAGAATGTGATTCCCAAGTTAAATGCATCCTTGATCATGGAAATGCCATGCTCTTCAGGCAATGGAGCATTGAGCACTCCAGTAAGCCCCATACATCCAAGCCCCAATCTTGAGACCTGCAAATAGGAGAAAAAATTTAGGATCAACTGAATATAATAATACCTAATATAATAGAAAAACTATACCCTATAAATAAATGAGTATCACACCCACACAGTGAAGCTTTACAAAAACTTGAAAGAGAAAAACATAAAGGTGGTTTGGTCAAAACTGAGGACTCAATGAAAGTGTTTGTCTGCTAAATGAGCAAAATGGATCTTTTACTCTCATACAATCATTTTAAGAGTTTTAACAAAAAAAAATGAGCAAACAGTACACTTATGTCAGTACCCTAACCTCATCCGCCACAAGAACTACCATTCCGCACCACCATTCCAGCCACCAGCATTATGGTTTGAAGCATCGCGAGAAATTATTACTCCTCACCCAATCACTAGTTGACACACAAGCAAATGTGCAAACTTTATTCAACTTTTTACCAACTAGTTATTGGCACCATGTAATAATTTCTCCTACTTACCTATGTATATTGGCAGCAGAAACATTTCAATATTTCTGCCATTGTTTTGCAAAGTCAATGAAATCATGTACTCATTAATCTTGTAAATTTTGAAACTTAAAATATGTATTAAAAAAATTCTAATTTTTCCGCTCTTATATTGACTCCCATGTGAGTAGACAAGTATTTTTTTTTTTTTTTTTTTTTTGATTTTTAATAAAATGAAGCCAAAACAATTTAATGTTTTTCTTTTCTTAAATTTGAAAAAATTAAAAACCCAAATTTGCCATTTAGAAGAGAAATCAAATTCTTTCATGGTTTGAGTTTTCTTTTTATCTTTTTCTCCATTTATATTTGGATTTGACTGATCTCTAATAGGTTTTTTTTTTTTTTTTTTTCTTGCTCCAAATCATCATTTCCGAGCTAGAAAGAACCTAAACTTTGGAAACAGAGAAAAACCTCAAACCCTCCTAGATTTTTCTTTCCTTTCCGTTTGATCACCCATCAAAATGAAAATAATGATGGATTGATAAATACTAATATTAAATAATACAAATAATAAAGAAGGTAAGGCTCCCAAATCAACTACTTTACCAAAACAATACTGACAAAGGTCATGAGCATGACCATGCTTTAACAGTATGGCTTCAGAAATAAAATAATTGGTGGATCCATACCGTGAACATATTTATAAATAAAAAATTAAAAAAAAAAAAAAAAACAATCAACAAAACCCAAAAAACACAAAATCACACGAAATGAAGTTGTTTTTTTATTGAATTTTTTTTTTAATTTAAAAAAAGGTATTTACCTCAAGTCCCTGGCTTCCCAATTTCACCCTTGGGATCTCAACCTTCTGCACTCCAGCCATTTTCCTGCTTCTACTAGTCTGTATGCTTGAATTCGACCTGGGTTAATTTTGAGTTAAAACAGATATACATATATATATATATATATATATATATACACACACATGTCTAGAGAGAGAGAGAGAGATAATGCGATCTAGGGCTGACGTCAGGGATGACGTCATGTCTCGATTACGTCATTAATGACTTTTTCTTATTCTGCCAGGTGGCAAGATTTGTCGAAGATTGGCTCCTGTGTTTTTTGGTTGAGTTTGGCGCGCTGTGAGCTTTTGATTGGAATGGACCTTTTTCTTTTTTATCTTAAACTTAACTTTATTTGGCCGGTCTTGATGTAACATAAAAAATTAAATTTTTTATAATAATAAAAAAAAAATGTGACAGACACTTGTCTACTTTTTGTTTATCATTTGACAACAACGACGTGCTTTGCTTGTAAAATCAATAAACTGTCCACCGTTTGACAACAAAACATGCTTTGTTTGTAAAATCAATAACCAATTGCAACTTCAGTTACCAATTGACTAAAAAACTACTTTTATATATATTAATTATTAAAAATGTAAAGAGTTTCATTATTTTAGTATTTTAATATTTTAGTATTTATTTATTTATTAATATAAAAATATTAATAAGAGTTTTTATAAAAAGAGATATTTTTTAATTAATATAAAAAGAGTTTTTATTAAAAGTGTAAAGAGTTTTAATATTTTAGTATTTATTTATTAAAATAAAAAAATATTAGTATTTCAGTATTTATTTATTAATATTAAAAAATATTTATTAATTGATATAAAAAGATTTTCTATTTCGGTATTTATTTATTAATATAAAAAATATTTATTAATTGATATTAAAAGAGTTTTTATAAAAAGAGATATTTATTAATTAATATTAAAAAATATTTTATGTTGTTGACCTATTATGATTTACAATTATGACTAATAGTTTAAAATTATGAATATTAATATTTATCTAATATTAGCATTTATATCATGATTAATAATTATTTAAGTAAAATTTTGTAACTCTTTAAATTTTAATCTTTACTCTTATAATACTATTTGTTCATAATTCATGAAAAAAAAAAAAATCAATACATTTGATTTCATTAATATTTAAAATTGTAATAACTCAAATAAGTTGCTAATTAATTATTTAAAAATAAAATTTATTTTAATAATTCTCTATAAATTTTAATTAAAATTATAAAATAAATTTTAATCATGTGCATCGCAAGTGATTTTTACTAGTGTGTGTGTGTGCGTGTGTGTTGGGGGGGGGGGGTGTTGGCTGAGCTATTGAAACAAAAAATGCATGTGGGCTGGCCGGCCGAGCCAAGGGTTGTGTGCCCAAGCTCTAAAAATCCTACTATAAGATTGGGTTAGGGCCGAACAATGGGCTTAGTCTCTTTATGGACCTTAACGAGGGATGGAGGATTGGATTCAGATTCTGTTATGGGTCAAAAACCACGTCATTCCCCTCAATGGTGTTCCGCCCTTTGAATTTCGTTCTGTTAAATCTTACGCTCTGTTTGTTCGAGTGTAAACTATTTTGTTTTAAAATATATATTTTTCAGTGTTTGGTAGTTCCAAATTCAAAGAAAATCTTTTACGAAGAAAAATAATTTATTAAAATTTAACTAAAATAACTTACCAATTATGTAATGTTTTACGGATTTATATATATATATATATATATATATATATATATATATATATATATATATATGTCAAAGTTATTTAGTTTTTTTAATAAAACAAAAAAAAGGTAGTGGGCCCACTAACATTTTAAACACCACATAAGGCCTAATGACTATTAACGAAATCCATTTCTCTCTCTCTACGTATCTCCGTCCAAAAGCTTCCCTTTTCTTTTCTTTTTTCTTTTCCAATTTCAAGCTTTGATTCCTCCTTCCATACTTAGAATTTTTGGGTGCCGTTTGCGGCAAATCAAAGAGCACCGGTGAGCTCTACGTGTGAGTACCAACAATTTCAGTTTTGGTGCACTCTAGGGAGTTCGATATTCTAGGGTTCTTGGGCTCAAATTGGGGGTTTTCATCAATTTGAGGTAGGAGTGTTCTAATCTACAATTTCTTGGGTCTTTTGTTAATTTCTCTCCTTAAATTTGATCTTAAGCATGCTAATTTTTTATTATCTAGTTTGTTGTTGTTGTAGTTATGTGTAATCAAAATGATAAATGTATTTTATGTGTTATTTGAGTTCATGTATATGTCTATTTTCATTGCGGTAAATGAGCATGGTTAGTGTTGATATGTTGTATGATTTATGATTATTTATTTATTTATTTATTGCTTTGAAAAATTGATGCTATGGTTATAAATAAATAAATAAATAAAATAAATGAATGTTTAGAAATTCTTATTAAATTGTGACGATGATGTAAATGGAATGTGTGAAAGCCTATAGTTGAATTGATGATTAGAAAGTATGAAACATTCATCCATTCATTGGGAAAGAAAAAGGAAAAAATGTTTTAAAATAAATGAAATTATTTTTGGGAAAATATTTTCAAAGGTGTTTGCGAAAACAGGAAGCCTAGGAGGCGCCTAGTGGTCCGTGTTGTTAGTGTAGTCTAGAAGGGAGTATGGTTGATCTAACTAGGCCGGATGCAACGCCTTGGAGGTGCCTTGTGGTCATAGATAGTTAGTCAACCCTTTATTCGTGACGTCTTGGAGGTGCCTTGGGTCAGATTACACTAACGGTTTGGTTGTTGAAACGGAATTGTTTCGAAAATTGGGAGCGACATTTGCATAACATTGCACTTCATGGCATTTTAGTAAATCTGTGATTGGTTGACATTTGCTACATATTTGTTGTTGTGGTTGAGAATATGTATTTCCCATGGTATGACCCCGTCCCTTTTTATCCATTCTTTGTGTGGATTCACGGGGTTATAAGAAGTGTGTCTTAGACACTTCCTACTGAGTTTATGCTCACCCCATTATTTTTTTAACATTTTTCAGGACATGGAAAAGAGGTGGCGGACGACGATCCACCACAATTTTAAACGAGTTTGAAGACTCATTTTTATTTTGTTATGTTTTGTATTAGACTCTAATATTTTGTAAATGTAATCTTAACTATTTTGAGAAATTTTAGTTTAATCAGTATAATGTTGTAAGTTATGGACTTTCAAAATTTAGCTACATTTATTGTCTGTAACTTGTTGTAACAGGACTGTTCCTTGTTTGGAAGAGATGGAAGAAGTGAATTTTTGATATGTATGTAATTATTTTGGGAATGTGATGTAATACTTGTATTGTGCGTTGGGACAGAACGGGTTATTTTTAGGGCCCAGTGAGGCCATTGTATTTTTTTTGTGGTATTTCAATAGGCTGTAGAGGGACTTTTTCTACGGAGGTCATGCCAAAATTTTATCTATTTTATTATTATTCTTTTGGTATCTAGTTGGGTCGTTACAAAATTGGTACCGGAGCGATGGTTCGAATACCATTAGGACGACGGGTAGAGGCCTACCTAGGGTTGCATGGGAAGTTGAATTACATGTTTATATGTTTGTGTGTTAAGGTGTTTAGTTATTTGAAAAACATGTCCAACTGCTTAATTGCTTATGTGTTTACGGTTTTAAAAGGCATGCTTATTTGCTAAGTGTTTACATACTTACGTGTTTAAATGCCAGTATATATAAATGAAGTGTATATGTTATTTGAAAGCATGTTAATTGTGATAAGATGACAAGTATGAGGGATGTGGTGACGGCAAGTGGTAGGCACGGTGTGTGGAGTTTCATTTTTGTGATAATATGGCAAATGGTGAGCACGGTATGTGCAAGTATGTTTCATATGGTATTGTGGATTATGGTCATTTTGTGTGTATATATATGACTCAATGTAATTATATGTATATGCGGTTAAGCATTGGCATGGTTGTTAGAACGGCAGAGTACTGGACGAAATAGAGTTGGTTGTGTGTGTTTTGACCTGAGTAAGTGAAGAGCTCGGTTGCTCCAGGGTTTTTAGGTGCCGGTTCTTATCGAACGAATAGCGTGGGCTTCTAGCTCGTGGATTGAGTTATTTGGTGTGTAGTCATTTTGATTTTCTTGATGCATTTTGTGCGGTGTTTAGAGCACGACTTTAGAATAGGTTCACATTTTATGGCACGGTGTCCGTAGAGAGTGTGAGTTTCATGCATCGGTGGATGGGTTCCTGTGACCGTGGAGGTCGAGTGTGTGAGTGAGGGTTTCGAGGGAGAAAGGTATGACCTTAGAAAGTTAGTGTTTGTGACTTTGGTCACAGTTTGGTGCGGAGGTTCTTTTCGAACCAGTCGTGGTAGGTATAACAGAAGTTGTTTGAGTCACGAATGTAGTTTATGGGATGTAGATGTGTATCATCTGGTACGGTCTGAGGAGGCGTGTTGGTTCTGACTGTCGTAGGTACTTGTTGGATTTTGTAGGTCTGGGGTAATATAGGACCGGTTGCAGGGTGAGGAGCATTTTGTGTCTTGTAAGAGTCTATTTTGGAGACTGGGTTGTTAAGGAGTGATTCTCATTTTGGATAGTTGTAGGAGCATGTTATGGGTAATTAACTCTTTGTGAGTTGATTACATGGTTCGGTGGATGAGTGGGGTTATAGGTTGTCACAGTTGTCGAGAGAGTCTTGAGGTAGTGTATAGTGGTTAGTTTTAGTTGTATAGAGCAGGATTGCACTATAAGGCAGGTTATATGAGGTCATTGAAGTACTTGGTCATTTACGGATGAAGTGATTGATGGTAGGTACGGTGTTACCAAATAGACTGTGTTCTAGGATTTGAAAGTTGTGGACTAGAGTTGGATTTTATGTTATGTCTAAGGTATCAGGAAATTGTGCTTGGTGTTTGAGGATTCGAAAAGGTCGACAGATGATTAGAATGATTTGGACGAGGTTGATTTTGTGGGTTTAGTTGTTAGCCCCATTTGGCCTTTGTTGGGGCCAAGGGTGTTCTGAGGAACGGCGAAAAGGGGAGGTAATGGTGTTGAACATAGGGTATTAAGTTTTCTTGTTTAGGCATGTAGATCGCTTTAGAAAGAGTAGTTTAAG